TAGAATATTGTTACAGAAGTTTCACTGGAATTGTCTGGAGTCTGTTGCAATCCAAGTGTAGGTGTTCTGTCATAGCCCTATATGGAAGCATGTCCCCTGGAAATAAGACTATGGAAAGATGGATCAAACAGAGGTGTCTTTCCTGGCCACCTCCATACTATTAAGTCCCATCTTTGCATCAATAAAGAGGTGGTTATAGGGGAACTAGTCATGTCAGTCAGCAGTCAATACAAGTCATTTTGAATTAGATCTTAACAAGCACCCAACATCAGCCTTCTCCACCCCTAGAAGATTCACGTATTTAATTTGGTTTGGTTTATAAAGACTATGAAGTCAGTTTATATTTTCTGAGACCTTAGTGACTGTGCATGTTTTAGAACAGTCAGCAGAATTTATGCTGAGCAAGGGCAAGAAGGTGGCTGCAGATTGAAAGTTCACCTTGGAAAACTGGTATCTAGGTAATTGATGCTTACATTTGCTTCATGAGAAAATATTGTTTACCTGAACTAAAGAAGAATTAATGAACCTCAGAAATGGAAGAAATCTGAGATATAATTTGTAACATTAATAATTTTAAATGCTTTAGTGATTAATAAGTGCAAGGCACTCTGCTCTTTACATAGAACTCATTTAATGCTCACAGGAAGTTCATGAAATGAATATTATTATTATTATTATAAACAAGATGACCTTAATATTCCCTTCAATTTAACTTTAGTTAGGCTTCTTTCTGACTCTAGGCCTTTGACCTCCATTTTTATAGAACATTTACTTTAGAAAACTTGCCATTGTAAATTGTTCCTTTGCCCCTTTGAGATATAAATCTGCCCCTAGTCTCTTGCCAGTTTTACAACTCTGGGATGTTTTTCTCAAGTACAGGGAGTCATCTCTTTGAAATGTAATCCTCAAAGATTAGCACTTTTATCTCCCAAATTCTATGGGAGGCTAGGAGCCTAACATCTGAACATGCCTAACTTCTAGTTGCAAAACTATCTCCTGTAATAAAGATACGAGAGAAATTCCTTTGGATAGAGCCAATTAGCAAATACAGGTATGGCCTATAATCCCTCCTAAGATCCTCAGTACTTTTCCATTACCTCATTCCAGCTCTTAAAAATTCTATCACCCTTGCTTCAGCAGAGATGAGTTCATACTTAATTCTGGCCTCTCTCCCCTATTGCAATAGCCATGAATAAAGTCTTTCTTGCCTGTTGAACTTTGGTGCAATTTTTACTTTGACATTATCCACAGTTTATTGACTAAGAATCTAAGGCACAAATGATGTATCAGATAAGGGGTTAATTTCCAATATATATAGAGTGCTCACACAATGCAACAAAAGGAAGACAAAGAACCCAATTAAAAAATGGGCAGAGGAGCTGAATAGACACCTCTCCAAACAGGACATACTAATGGCCAAGAGACATATGAAGAAATGCTCAACATCACTAATCATCAGAGAGATGCAAATTAAAACAACAATGAGGTATCACCTCACACCTGTCAGAATGGCCGCCCTCAACAAATCATCAAACAACAAGTGTTGGCGAGGGTGTGGAGAAAAGGGGACTCTAATACACTGCTGGTGGGAATGCAGACTGGTGCAGCCACTATGGAAAACACTATGATGTTACCTCAAAAAATTAAAAATTGAACTTCCATTTAACCCAGTGATCCCGCTTCTAGGAATATACCCTAAGAAGCCCGAAACACCAATCAGGAAGAATATATGTACCCCCATGTTCATAGCAGCACTATTTACAATAGCTAAGATCTGGAAACAGCCCAATTGTCCATCAGTAGACGAATGGCTAAAAAAGCAGTGGTACATATACACAGTGGAGTACTATGCAGCGGTAAGAAAGAAAGATCTCTTATCCCTTGAGACAACATGGAAGGACCTGGAAAGTATTATCGTAAGTGAAATAAGCCAAGCAGAAAAAGACAAATACCACATGATCTCACTTATATACGGAATATAATGAACATAACAGTCTGAGGAATACGGTAGACCCAGAAACATGGAAGTAGGGCACAGACTGACATCCCTCAGAAGAGGGGGTTGGGAGGGTGGGAAGAGATAAATCACAGAACTTATATACATGAATGCATGACCAATGAACATGGACAACTAAGCCGGGGACTAGGCGGGGGTGGGATGGGGAGGGGGGTGCCAATGGGGGTAAAAAAGGATTAAAATCTGTAACAACAACAACAAAAGAATCTAAGGCACAGAAAAAGCGAGTAGCTTGCCCAAGGTCATACATTAGTGAGTGGGATTCTAGACCTATCTCCTCATTTTACTGACAAAGTGATGCTGTCAGTCAGGGCTTTCTTTGAGTTCTCCCTAGAATAAACATTACTGCGTTAAAAGCACTTGTATGCCATTGCTTTATTTGTTCCAACTCAATATACTAGGCAGAACAGGTATTTTTGTATCTTTCCTTTATAATTGAGAATTTAGGGAGGTTAAACACCTTGCCTAAATCACACAGCTGGCTAGTGAATGATTCAAATTAATATATTTGTTCCCATGAGTTTAGGGCCCCAAGGTTTAGGGTTTAATCCTCACTGCACCCTTGAGCTGTGACTCTAACTAGAACCAGATAGGTGGGAAGGGCTAACTCCCACCCAACTCTGGAAGCAGTGCCCTCCCCAGGCAGGTAAGTACCTGTGACCCCTTCCTTCCTGTTCCAACAGTCCTCCAACTCCCGTCTTCAACCAGCAGCCAGCAGAGCCCCTTCTGTAGTTCAGAAAAGCCCTTTCCACCCACATTGCTTTCCTTTGAACCAGCTCCCCGTGTGGGCCCTACCTTTCCCCAGCCTCTTAGAACCCCTTAGGAACTCCAATTTATAGATGGACACCTGTCATTTTGCCCTGTGAGGCCACACGTATGAGCTCCAGCCTGTTTCCTGCGGGTGTTCTGTCTCCCAAATTGGCTTCTCTTGCGTTCACAGAGCTTCTCAAATAACCGGGGGTGGCAATGGGGGCGGCGGGGTGGAGTAGGTAGGAACAGTCGTGGCAGAGATAAAGCACCACTGAAAGGGTGTTGGTGAAAGAGGATAGTGTGGAAACACTTTGACAACAAGAGAACAGATCTAACAGAAAAAGCTCCCCACTCAGGTGGTGACCCGATCTCTCGCTCTGGTTGCAGGCATTTGATTTTGGTCACGTTCATTTCCTTTCTCTGTGCCTTTCTCCCCTTTGCAAGCAGACCATTGGACTAGTCCTTTCAAACTGTGATATTCTGGGATTGTCAGGCCTCTGTTCCAGGCGGGAATGGAGGTACTTAACCCGTCCCTGCCGGGCTCACAGGGAGCGCGGCTGTCCTTAGGGGAAGCATGCTTGTCAAGCAGAGCAGAGCCCGAATCTCGGAGCTTTCCGAGGACCGAGGACCGCAGTGGCTGCGCTTCGCTGAATGAGCACCGCCCGCCACGAGTCGCATCCATTGTTCCTAAACGCTGCACGCTCTGCCCTCCACCTCGCCCACACACACCCAGGCGCCAACAAGGCGGGCACTGCTGACCGGCCTGGGGACGATGAACTGTTGTGTGGTGGCGAGCTGCTGGGGAGCTCTGTCTCAAACGCCCCAGTCACGACAGGGGCAGTTTGTGGCTGGGAAGCTGGCCGAGGAGCCTGGCTCTCCTTGGGAGGAGGTGGAGCCCAGGCACGTGCTGGAGCGAGAGAGGAGCAGGGAAGCTTTTGTTCCCGGGGATAATAATAGAACCTTCTGCAAATGATTCTGATTCACCGTCAGATTTCTTCCAAATCTGCCTGGGAGGGGTTGTGGAGACAGGTTGCATTCTTTTCCTCCCTTCTTGGTATCGCCTGTGCGGATTCATGTTACTCCTCAAGGGCTGTGCGCACTGAAGAAGGGAGCAAAGGAGGTTATCCGGGCCCATACTCTACCTCCAGAATGCTGTCCTCACCTCCCGCCAGACGCACCCTTAGAAGCCTTAAATTATTCATTCCTATATCTAATAGTAGCTTCTGGCGAAGCTGACGGTAGGGATTGCCTCGTTCCGTAGTCCCAACCCAATTCCTCCACGAGATGGGGTCAAATGTACTGTTAGTCTCTTAGGCTCTTTAAATGACATGATAGCAGGTCCTCCTAGTCTTTCTCACTACCAGTATGACCCGAGGGTGGCCTCGGCTTGACTGAAGTTTGGGCAGGCTTTTTCCTGACACTAGCCCCTGACCTCTTTTCATAGAGCCTTTGCTTTAGAGAATTTTACTGTAAATTCTTTCTTTGTCCCTTGGAGATGCAAATCTTCTCCCTGCCTCATTCCAGTTTAACAACCCAGGAAAGAACCTGGGAACTGTGTGTCTACAATGTAAACATCAGGAAATATAGTGCCCTATATCCCAGTTTCTGTGGAAGGGCAGGAGCTTAATTTCAGTGTTGGGGGTTGGGAAAGCCCTAGCTCCAAGTTGTGAAACTACCTCCTGTCATGAAGATATCAAAAGTTTACTTTTCCTTTCGTTAAGGCCAGTTACCAAACACAGATGTCTAAGACTCCCCATCCCAGCTCTAAAAACTCACAGCCTGTTGTTTCCACCCAGCCAGGCATCAGATGTCATCTCTGCTCTCTCCCCTGTTGCTGGCAATTATACCAGAATAAAATCAACCTCGGGCAGCTCATTGTATGCGGTGTGATTTTTTTTCTTTAACACTCATCATGGTTATGGTTTCCCTCAAATCCCTCTCTTCTGGTCTTTGCTATTTTGCAACTTATTAGGCAACCAAGTAGTACATTACTGGAAGTGTGTGTGTGTGTGTGTGTGTGTGTGTGACCTCTCCCACTTCACTAAAATATTCTTAGGGGAGCAATGTATCTACATTGTACCACATACTTCCTGGTGGAGCACTGTATGTGCTCAAGCTCTGGTTATTGAAAACTTTTGTCAACATATTCCATCCAACACAAACCATGACTGTTAGTTCTCTAAAAACATGGAAAGGTTGTAAAGTATTTTTTATTTGTATTGTTTTCTGCCAGCAGAAAACACCGTAAATTTGTTTGCAGTGGTCAAGAAGAGAGACTGAATCCCACTCATCTCTTCCTCTGAAGAATCAAAATTTGGGATAGAGGGAGAAGCTGGTTTTAAGGGGAGGCTGCAAGTGGATCTCCTTGGACGAGGCCTCAAGAAGAAAAACAGGATTCTGATGTTGTGGAAGACATTCTGGCGTTTAATTGGGAGCACATCAAGATGAGGAGAAGCTCAAAGGGAATCTCACTGCAGGTTGCACCACGGTTTCAGAGTCTGAAAGTGGGATTTTTCCTTCCTCACTTAGCTTGAGCCCTTTGAGAGCATTCCAGCAGCAACCCTTGTTTCTCAAACTTCATCATCCTTTGACCCTCTAACTGTGTCAAAGCTTGGGATAAAATTAAGTCTTTGTCCAGTTTACCATTGTCCATGTCATATATTCCAACACTCACATAGCAGAGAAACAAACACGAAGAGAAATGAAGAGACTTGCCTAAGGTTTTTCTCTGGGCATGCAGCTTATGACAACATCAGGATGTAGATTCCAAGTCTCTCAGCCTGCTCTGCTTTTCAGCGTACCATGCTGCCTTTTCCCTACTGAGTTCAGGAGTTTGTAGGGCTTGGGAGCAGGAGCTGGATATTGGAGGCAGTACCACCTCCTGCAAAAAGAGATGGGAATTTGGCTCTTCTATGAAGCCACTGCTGTCAGAACATGTGCTGTTGTGATGGTGCAAAAAGCCTGTAATGGGAATGAAAAAGAAACACATCAGGCATTTTTGAGGTAACTTTGGGTATTGGCGCTGGTAGAAATGTTCATACTGCACCCGTGGAGATGTTTCTTACCACTCTAAGTATTACTTAACGTTATTAGCAGCAGCAGACAGGCTTTCTGCGGTTCTTACCATGAAGTGAGATTTCTGGAAGCACTCACCTCTTATTTTTTATACTTATAAAAGTATACCTATACTGCTCGGCCAGTGTGGCTCAGTGGTTGAGTGTTGACCCATGCACCAAGAGGTCGCTGGTTCGATTCCTGGTCAGGGCACATGCCCAGTTGTGGGCCCTATCTCCAGTGGAGGGCATGAAGGAGGTGTAAAATCTATGTTCTCTCTCATCCATTTTTCTATCTCTCTCTTCGTCTCCCTTACTCTCTCTCTAAAATCAATAAAGAAAAAATACTTAAAAAGTATACTTTATTCTTATTTTCTTATATATATTGTTGAGCACTGCTATAGAAAATTACAAAACCATTGCCAACCCATGTTCTGCACCTTGAGCTGAGCCACAACATTATTCATCTATTCAATTGTTAATACAAATTTCTATTAATAAATATTTCTCTTACCCTTTCTCCATAGTGATGAATCAAATCTTTACTATCTTTCTGATATTCCCTGCATTACACTTTTAGTGATGACACAAAGGGAGAAACCAATAGGTAGACATTTCTTGGCTCCTTCTCCAAAGGACCAATGTAACTATTCACACCTGTCCTTTTTCCTTTCCTCTAATCTCAGACAAAGATCTGCACCTCTAGTTCATGGCTAACCCACTCTCCACCCCAAAGTATTCTGGTTCTCAACTCCTTCTAATTCTCCAGTGAACTCAGATCATCATTCTCCCTCCTGAACCATAGTCTCTCCCACCCTATTGATTCTTCCCCTTCAGAAAATACACATGCTTAAATCTTCCCCATTCTAAAAAACAAACAAACAAACAACAAAAAGCAAAAAAAACACTTGTTAAAGTCTCTTGACCACTTTACCTACCTTATTTGTATAATTTCCTATTCACTTTCATTGATATTTTAAAGCCCCGTCACACTAATAAAAATAGTCTTATCAAGGTTCCTAATCATTATCTAGTTGCAAATCCAATAGTATCTTTGTATTCTCATTCCCATGGGATGTTTTATGACATATGTTACTGAGGACCACACTGTCCTTTTTTTTTTTTTATCCTCACCTAAGGATATTTTTTCTATCTTTTGTTCAGATAGAGTGGGAGGGAGGGAGGGAAGGAGGGAGGGGGAGAGAGAGAGAGAGAGAGAGAGAGAGAGAGAGAGAGAGAAACATCGACGTGAAAGGGACACATCGAGTGGTTGCCACCTGCACAACCCAGCCAGGGCCAGGGACAAACTGCAACCGAGGCACGTGCCCTTAGTGAGAACCAAACCTGGGTCTCTCTGGACCGCAGGTTGATGCTCTAACCCCTGAGCCAAACTGGCCAGGGCTGCACCCTCCTTCTTGAAACCCACTTCATTTGGCTTCTTTTTGAAACTTTCTTCCTTCAATCAATATGGCCACTCCTTTATGAACATCTTTTGTTTGATAAATCCCTAAATATTAATGTTCTTAAGGGTTTCTATTTTATTCCAACTCCTGACTGTGCTTTCTCTAGGTGAAATATTATTTTCATGACTTCACCTATTATAAGTAAGCATTGAATTCCAAGAAACTCTCCTTAAATTAAAATATTCAGCTGCCATGTGGACTTCTCTATTTTAATATTTCAGAAGTCCCCCAACTCATCATATCCAAATCTGAACTCATCAAATTGTTCTAAACTTGAAAATAGGCAAACAAGATTTCAGTACAGGGTTAGTCTTGAGTTTCTATTTGCAGGGCTATTTTCCAACTCTGTAGGGGCAGAAGTTACCTTGAAAATTTATGTTGAGTAGAGATGCAAATAATTTATTTCTAGTGTGATCAGTATCCCCTGAGATTAGAGTTTATGGCATTGTTGGATATTAACTGCTTCTCAAATACTCTCTGGACCAGTTCAAACATATTACTATTACCCTTATTAATTAATGAATAAAATCTCTGAACAGGTTTATACTTTAAAACAGTTGCCTTCCAACCCAAGAAAGGAACCTGGAAATTTCTGTTTCTTTCTTTCTTTTCCTCACCTCCCACCTCCTAAACACAAGTCTATTGGTCCTAGTTTTAGCCACTGTATATATTAAAAGTCTCAAAATCTCACTCTTCTTCCCCTCCATTCCCAGTACTCTCATTTTATTTCTGGTCATCATATTTCTTCTCAGTCTTCTGTGGTAGACTCTTGAATGATTTCCCTTCCTCCACTGGCTTCCTATTCTGTCCATTTCTCATACCTCTGTCAGATTTTTCTAAAAGATAAATCTAATCATATCATTTCTTTGTAAAATTTTAAGTGGTACCCTGTCTTCCTAGACTGAATAAAAAATACTTAAAATAACATATAAGACTTGGTTTCATAATCTGATTTCTATTAATCTTTCCTAGTCTTAATGTTAATCTTCTCCCACATATCCCCTTTCTCCCACTAGGCACAAGGTGTGATTTCTGACAACATTGTGACTTTCCATTCCTCTCTGCCTTTCAATATGTTATCTCTCTAACAAGGATATCAATGTCCTGCTTCTTCTTATATGTCCTCACACTACCTTTACTTGTCTGTTCAGACTCACCTGGAAATGTCATCCTCTGGGAACTTAATTTTTCTATGTGCCCGTGACATCTAATGAAATTATTGAAGTAATTGTTGATTTTCCTGTCATGTCTTTCACTAAACTATGAGCTGCAAGTATCCTGTGAGTGCTCCTGCTTAATCTGTATAATCCCCCTCTTGCTAGTGGATTTATAAGAAGGCAACAAAACCGGTGGTGGCAAAGCTCAAAGGGGTAGGGCAGATCAAGCACGGGAAGTGAGGTTTGCTCTGACCCACAGCCACAGTCTGAACTCTTGCATATTCAGGGCAGTGTGTCCTAATGAAAAGAACATAGGTTTGAGGGTCAGGAGACCTGAATTCTTGTACTGATTTTGATATTAACTAACTAGTTACATGATCTTGTTAAGTGCTTTTTCTTCTCAAATAGTCTATATAATTCTAAGACTTACATGAGAGAATATCTCTGAAAGTGCTATGTACTCACTTGAAGTTACTTTCTACCTGAAGGGCTAGGTAAGATAGTGTGGATGGAGCCAGGGCCTCTGCTCTGCACATCTCCAGGTGCAATGCTTACACTGCAGTCCATGTGAATACTGACCCAAAGTCGTGTGGCTCTACAGACTTGGAACATAGCCTTGGTAATTGACTGAAACACTTGAAATGAATCACTCAGAAAATGAGCATTATGAATGCAGAGATTATCCTTCTGCGTTTCATAGCTCTAAAGAAGAATGGGGCCAGACAGACAAAGGGAAGGCCAAAAAAGAGAAGGGAAGATGCGCAGAGGTGACATGGCAAATACAAATAAAAAAATAAGCTTAATTTTTCCTATTGTGAAAGAGCCTTCTCTCTTCCCCCAACTTTCCTTAAAGCATGTTTCTTTAGAAAACCTCTAAGTTCTTTGTCTCTTTGAAATATATGTAAATCTTTTAAAAAGGTTAACTAAACCGCTTGCCACCTTTACAAGTCAGAAATGTCTTTCTCAAAGGAAGCCATTGCTTTGAAATGTAATCATCATGGTGCCTCTACCTCCCAGTCTTCATGGCAGGGTAGGAGTCTAACTTAGGTGCCTGGCTCCAACTTACAAAACTACTTTCTGTCATAAAGATAGAAGTTTTATTATTCCTTTGGATAAAGGCAATCAGCTAACATAGGTGGCCATCCCAGTTACCAGGTCAACGCAGGATGAACTATGTGTGACAGATGGTGCTGTCAAGTCCTCTCACTTGAGGACTAGTTACTGTTTATTTTGACATATATGTAATAAATTGCATTTTCTTGGCTATGTAAGAAGTGAGATTTTTTTCTGTCTTTGCAATCTTGTCTGTGGATTTTCTATGATGTACATCATATTCTGCTTTAATGCTTATTTAAAAATAAAACCGTTTTCTTTGTCTTATACCTTTCTGGAGAGGTTTTCTGGGGCAGAAAAAGATTTTGTTTTTAATTACATTTCCCCAACAGGCACAAAACAACCTTGGTAAGAATTATAATGAGGCAGAAAAATAATTGTCACATTCTCACGATATCCTCTCTCTCTTCCCTCTCCCTTTTCCCATTTCTCCCTGTACTTCCTGTCCAGTAGTTCCTCTCCAGAATTTATTTTGGTATAAAAATAACTGTCCAGTGTCATCACCTATAAAATGGGAAACAATAAAAATCAAACACAATAAGATTAAGTGATTTGATTCCCATAAAGTGCTAAGGATATTAGTGAGCCCTATATATATTTGTTATTGTTAATATTATCTTATAAAAAAAATCTTACATCGAAGAGGAAGTCTGTAGTTACCTGGCCCACATAGGTTCCAAGAAGTACAAACAGATAGCACATTGAGGAACCCCCTATGGGATTATGTCACACTAGTTACCTCTTTTAAAAAAAAATTAAAATTGGTTTTAGAGAGGGGAAGGGAGAGCTAGAGAGAGATAGAAACATTGATGAGAGAGAACATCGATGGACCACCTTTTGCATGCCCCCCACTGGGGATAAGGTCCACAGTCTGGGCATGTGCCCTGACTGGGAATTGAACCTATGACCTTTTGGTGCATGGGTCGATGCTCAATCACTGAGCCACACCGACCAGGCACTAGTTATCTTCTTTATCCTATACTCTGTACCAGCCTTTCTACACAAACTTTCCTGTCTCTTCTCTCACTACCACCAGAAAAGCTGACCATAAAATGAAACCTCCAATCTCCAAATAGAATATCTATTGGCCTGTGCTACCTCAGATCTGGTAAAAGGAACAAACAATAAAAATTAAAAACTTCCTTGGCCCTGCCTTTTATAAATGTGGTCAAGATAAAATGGTTTAAATTTCTGCAATGGGGCACCAATAAAAGGGCTGTGAATTTGAAATTTTTGAGCATGGTGCAAATGATGAGGAATGATGAAGGTCATCCTTTCCCAGAAACTTGCAGGAAGAGTAAAACTTCTTTTTTTTTTTTAATCCTCATTCGAGGACACTTTGCATTTATCTTCAGATAGAGCGGGAAGGAGAAAGGGAGGAAGAGAGAAAGAGAAATATCGATGTGAGAGAGACACATTGACTGGTTGCCACCCACACGACCCCAACCGGGGCCAGGGACAAACTGCAACTGAGGTACGTGCCCTTAGCAGAACCGAACCTGGGTCTCTGCAGTCCGCAGGCCAATGCTCTAACTGCTGATCCAAACCGGCCAGGGCAAGACTTCTTTGCTACAGACTAAATGGTAGAATAGGAGAAAAGAAAGCTAATAGCTGGGGACCAGGTCCTCTTTTAACAGAAAAGGTGCTCTTGTGATAATTACAGAAAGGCACTCACATTATGTAGATGAATTAAAAGAAAAAAGGAACTCTGTCTTAGAAGGTGAAGACCCTTGAGGTTTTGGGTGGTAAGTGGCATAGTGCTGGATTTGAACTGTGTTTGCCTCTTTAAGTGGATGTCTTTGTGCAATGTGAGGACTATACAAACTGGACACAGTGGCTGAATGGGTGCTGCTACCACTTCCCACCCATGTTCACACCCCTCCCCCAGGCCAAATAATCAGTAGTAGATTAACTTCTGGGACTTGATGCAAAGATCCTGGGAAATAATTCATCTCTAGGAGATAATTACAGACCCTGGAAGAAGCAGAGTAGGGTTGTTTTTCAATAGATCCAAGGGACTACCCCACCTATCTCTGCCTTTGATGGTGGTAAGTGAATTTCCTGCTCCATATTTCTTGGCAGTATGAGCTGTTTTTATGGCTATCCTCTCCTTCCTGTGATCTCTTAACGAGTGTTAGAGAACTGGATTGAGAGAGATAGTTCATAGCTTTGTGAAAAGATGATTAAACAAACTCACAGAGAATTGGAAATATTTGAGAACCACTGTGATCCTCATCTCAGCCAAAGACTGTATCGAAGAGATCTCTCATTTTTCTAGCGAGGCATAAGAGGAAAAATCTATAAAATCACTTCCTCGTTTACCTGAGAGACTAAGTGCATTTAATGTTTAAAGTTACAGTGTTGCCCTGGCCGGTTTGGCTCAGCGGTTAGAGTGTCGGCCTGCGGTCCTGAGAGACCCGGGTTCGGTTCCCGCTAAGGGCATGTACCTCGGTTGCAGTTTGTCCCCGGCCCTGGTTGGTCGTGAGGGTGGCAGCCACTCGATGTGTTCCTTTCGCATCGATGTTTCTCTCTCTCTCTCTGTTCCTCTCTCTCCCTCCCACTCTACCTGAACAAAAAATGGAAAAATGTCCTCGAGTGAGGATAAAAAAAATAAAAAAAAAAAAAAAAAATAAAGTTACAGTGTTCATTGAATCTGATAAGCCAGCATTGGTAAGACTTATAATTATTTTATATTACACTCAGGAGGCAAAATTTAGACAATGACAATTATTAAGACCCATCCTATTTGAGAGATTAAAGTGTGAAAAAATGTAGGCCTTAGAATAAGTGAAATACAGCATTTCTAAGTGCAACCTCTTTTGCTGTAGTGAAATCGCACCACTGTGGCAAAAAAATGGCATCTAGCAACTCATTTGGAATATGTAACTCCTAGAGGCACTTCCTCCCTGGCTTAACTAGAGAAATCCTGCAGAAGGCCTGCTCTGCGGGACATCTTGGTATTTTCTTGTGCAAGGGTGACATCTGCTGGACAAGTAGTACATGTGCAAAGCTCTGTACAGTAGTCCCCTGCAATCCGTGGTTTGGCTTTCTATCTTTTCAGTTACCCATGGTCAATGAAACATTTCAGAAATAAATAAATCATAAGTTTTAAATTGTACGCTGTTCTGAGTTGCATGGTGAAGTCTCTCACTGTCTTGCTCTGTCCACTCGGAGTATGAATCATCCCTTTGTCCAGAGTCTCCACACTTTAAATGTTGCCTGCTCACTAGTCACTTAGTAGCCATCTCAGTTATCAGATCAACTGTCAGAGCTTGTTTACAAGTCACTCTTATTTTACTTAATAGTACCACTGTCCCACAATTTCTTTCTTTCTTTCTTTTTTAGAGTTGGAAGGGAGGGAGGGAGGGAGGGGGGGAGAGAGCGAGAGAGACATCGATGTGAGAGAGACACATCAATTGGTTGCTTCCCACACAAGCCCAACCCACGCTGGGGAAGGAACCCGCAGCCCAGGTACATGCCCTTGACCAGGAATCAACCCTTCGATTCATGGGCTGACACTCTAACAACTAAACCAAACCGTCCAGGGCCCATAATTTTTATTACAGTATATTGTTATAATTGTTCTATTTTATTATTAGTTGTTGATAATCTCTTACTGTGCCTAATTTATAAACTTTATTATATACATTTATTATTAGAAAAACATAGTATATAAAAGGTTCAGTAATATCTGTTATTTCAGGCATCCATTGTGGGTCTTGGAACATCTCTCCCATGTATAAGGGTGGGGCTACTCTGTGTGTGTGTGTGTGTGTGTGTGTGTGTGTGTGTACTATTCTCCTATTTTGTAGGACAAAATTAAAGTGATTTTTGCAAGAACTAGTATGAGGTATATCATTTGGCTCCACATCTTAAACTTTTTCAACTACATATAACATATTATTGCCTTCTGATATTTACCTCTTTTGTGAGTGACTAACTGTATACATATAATCTGTATATTTGGTGATAAAGGTAATGGGTAAGAGGGAAAGAAGCACTATTAGGGCTCTAAAACCACAGATGATTAGAATTAAAAGAGTTAGAATTGTAAAGATCTTTGTGATTAAGGAGTAGTAACACTGAAATTTTGGAGTATTAACCAAAAAAAGCTATTGTGCCAGGAAGTGCAATAAATAGTACTAAGATATGCAAAATGAAGGGAACTCTAAGCCAGCTGAAATCTTGATTCATTTACTTAAAGAAAGGTTTCAATTCCTACTGTCTTGGAAAAATCATTATCCCTGATGCTATCTTCTCTGTGGTTCTAGGATATCGGTGGTAAAAACTACAGGAGATTACTTTTCACTTAGTTTAAATAAATAATAAATCTTCAGACAAAATGTTCAAACATAAAGGGTATGCCTCTGACAGAGTTAATATTCAAAACTCACATCAAGAGGAAAGACATTTTAGCAGTAGTAACTATGTATGTGAGTTTTGTTGTCCTTTGGAGGGGAAGGAGACCTACATATATCAGACCCTTGTTGCAAAAAGGAGCTCAGAGCCTAAATGAACAAAGCTGTGAGATAACCCTGAGGAGTCTTCCCTAAGTCCCATGATGTGGGCTGTTTAGAAAATAGCTGAAAAAGTAGGTATAAATCTCCATGATCGGTCCTCATCTATTAGAAAACTCTACAATGCTTCTCAAATTTCAATGTGTAAAAGAATCACTAAGGATCTTGACACAGTGGTGATTCACCAGGTCTGGTGTAAGAGCTGGGATTCCAAATTTCTAACAAAATTCCAAGTGATGTTAATGCCTCTGGCCTGCAGACTACATTTTGAATATTAAGGTCATACAGAATTTCCCCTAGAATAGCAGTTCTCAGACCGTGATCACCAGACCAGCAATATGAGCATTAACTGGGCACTTGTTAGAAATGCAAATTCTTGGACCCTGTCTAGACCTATTTAATCAGAGACTCTGGGAGTTGGAGCCAAACCATCTGTATTTTACAGGTTCTTGGGATGATTCTGATGCTAATGTCTGAGAACCACTGATCTAGAGGAGTATGTATCTAGCCATATTAGAATTAGCATAGGAGCTTAAAAAGAAAATATCAGCTCCTGGTTTCCATGCATTCCTATTTAATCCGAATTTCAGGATATGAGACCCTTCATTGTAAGTATTTAAAAAAATATTCCCATTTGATTATGATGTGCAACCACGTTTGATAACCACTGCCAGAGAAAGAGAGAGGAAGAGAGAGGGGGAGAGAGAGAGAGAGAGAGAGAGAGAGAGGTACTTACTTCTTGTGTCTTTGCCTGTAAGAGTCTGGTAGAGATCAGGGGGCCTGGGTCTGCTGGCCCAGCGGGTCTCTTCCTCCTCACTGTTGCTTTGCACCTGCAACCAAGATCCCAGCAGAACTAGTCAGAGCCAGTGGTGGGGAAAGGTGCAGGATGGCAGGCAGCTGTAGGGGAAGGAGACTGAGTGTACTTGAGGGACTTGGCATCTTCTCCTGTGTCAGGAACCCGGTAGTGAGGAAGGCAGGAGCTGAGGTGCAGCTCTACATTCAGTGAGAGTTGTCACACAGGCAAAGGATATTTCGAATCACCACAACTTGAGAGCTTTTCCAGGAGACCCTTGCTCTTGGTGGCAGTACTATAGACCTTGGCAAGAGGAGTCCTGAGTTTTTGAGGATCTGTGGGATAAAGAGTTGGTGGACCTAGGAGAAGTGCCCAGCTGGATCACACAGTACCCCTTCTAGACCATGCTCTGGTCACCTAGAATCCCAAATATGCTGCTCAAAAGGCCCCGAGCCTGCTTTGAACTACACTGGTTTTGCCTGGTCTCTGTTCTCTCACGGGCCATCTTCTCTACTCGTGTGCTCTCCCAGGCCTGAGTGATGGCCAGTGGGTGGCTATTTGTGTGGGGAATGGGTATGAGGCATTCGGATTTGCAGGCTGGGCTGTTCAAACACTTGTGTATGAAATCCTTGATGGTTCAGGACAGATCGTGGCATGGAAGAGAAGGGGACAGGCCAGGGGCTGGGGAATGGCTCTGCCCACACTGCTATGTTCTTGTATAGAAGTCCTAAGAGTCTGAGAATTCTAGATGTGAACTCAGACTTCCAGGTCTTTATGGTCACATATTTGTCAAGGTAGAAGAGAGAACATTTTATTTAATAGTGTTTAGCTTAGTGTATAACTTACCTCTACCCTTATGTGGATCCCACAAATGACAGGGGCAGGGGTGCCTCGCGAAAAGCTTCAAGACCAGATCAGATGAGGAATTCGAAAAGCAGTTCTGGAAACCTGGAAGCTCTTAAGAAACTGGGCCTATTTCTTTTTTTTTTTTTCTTCTATATTAACTCACTCCCAAAAGTTTCTGAATGTAATTTAAGAATTGGTATATTGAATGAGGACAGGGAGCCTGGATTCCCTTTACCCAAGGACAAGAGTTCAGAGCTTTTCTCTGCCAGCATCTCCCTCTCCTCCAATCTACTCACCTCCTCCAAGTCAAAAGTGTCCCGCAGCTGCTGGGTTAGAGATCGGTGCAGTGCCGGCCTCTGTTGGCTCTGCTTCCACTTCTGCTGGATGATGGACAGATCCAATGATTTAACTTTCCTGACTGTGGGATTGTTCTGAAAGAGGCTCTTTCTTGCTTTGCTTTTCCTTTGCCAGAAAGTCTCATCCTTGACCAAGTGGACTTCCTTATTGGTGGCCTGTAGGCCCCACCACTCTCTCTTTACCTGTGCAGGTTCTGTGCTCAACTGTAGATCTGCTCTGGGCATAGAATGTGTGCAACAGGGTGTCTTGGGGTTAGAGTACAGAATTTGTGATGGCGCATGCTCTGTGGACATCCCCTGCTGTGTTTCCTCTTTAGGGCAGAGGTCACATGAACAAGAAGAAGTAGGCAGCGTTGTACCTCTGATGGGGTGCACAGGACCTTTCTGTGAACCTGGCCCAAACTCAGGGTCTTGGTGAAGAACCAGCTTCTCTCCTCTCACTCTGTCCATCACTTCCCACACCACTTGGTCCAAACTGTTTCTTTTGGGGGTATGGTGGGGTGGTGATAACCGAACTCGGGGGCATGTATACAGGCACATTTTGGAGATGGCTTTCCGGAGGCGCTCTCTGGGTGAGTGAAGTTCAGGTTCCGGGGCCAGAATCTTGATGGATGGCACATCGGTGGGGTTGCAATTCCAGAACATGTGTGATGGTGTGAACTTTTGGACAGGTGTCTTAGACACATAGGAGTAGAGACAGAAGAAAGCATCAGCAGTGACAGCCAATGTTTGCACCTGCTTAAACCTGCCTGGGTACAAAGGTTGAAGATGGTGAGTCTGGGGAGCTACTAGCAAATTATTTCTTGAATTTCTCCCTTCAATAGCCTTCCTTAACTTAAAATCTAGAAAGAAGGTGCCAGTTTCCCCACTAGTGTTTCTCCCACTTAGATTTCTGACACCCAAGATCCCTTTTCTTGACTTTCTTGATTTGTTTTCTTTGATTTTTATTGAATTTATTGGAGTGACATTGGTTAATGAAATTATATAGGTTTTAAGTGTATAATTCTATAATAAGTCATTTGTATATTGCATTGTGTGTTCATCATCCAAAATCAAGTATCCTTCCATTTTCTTGACTTCTCATACCAAGTAGCTATTTTTTAAAATTAATTTTTTAGAGAGAGAGAGGGAGGGAGAGAGAGAAACATGGATGTGAAAGAGAAACATCAATTGGCTGCTTCCTGCACTCCCCCTAGTGGGGATTGAGCCTGTAACCAGGGCACGTGTGCTGAACAGGAACTGAACTGGGACCTCTCAGTCCATGGGACAACACTCAATCCACTGAGCCACAAGGCTGGGCCCTAGGAGCTATTTTACTTTAGCCCCAAAATTAATTCTATATGGGATGAGAAACATTTCTATATCCTGAGTTAGCATATCTTTCTCTGTCAGTGTATTCTAAACAATGATCTCCATCATGGTGTTTGCTTTAAGATAAAAAACATGATAAGAAACAAAATCAACATTATTTGTTTGTAACAAAACTTTCGGGTTATAGAAAGCTTCCTGATAGAAACAGATTTGAGAGATAGCAATGACTAGGCAGAGGACTGGAGTAGAGTTTAGATGGACTCTATAATTTCCATTAGATCTTTGCTTCTCAAAGTGCGGCCAGGAGTCCAGTAGTATTGGCATTGTGTGGCAACTTGTTATAAATGCAGAATCTCAGACTATATCCCAAACATTTTAACAATATCCTTTGGTAATTCATATGCATATCCACATTTGAAAAGCACTGTGATAAACCATATATCCATTGAACTATAACCTTCTGGAAGGCAAGAATTATGTTCCTCTTATCTACCTATTGTTATTCTAGAATTTAACACCTAATTGTGTTCCTGGCACATACAATAAATTCAATAAATCATTCTCAAGAGAGTGTGACTAAGAAACATCTAAGGTATGAAAATACTTCAATTCAAAATTCTGGTTTCGGCAGGTGGCACTCAGGAGTCTCATTTTACCAAGCTTTTACATTGAATCTGATACAAAAAAAAAAAAAAGAAGAAGAATCTGAAACAACACTGTCAGAAACACCATCATGTTATCATGTTTTGGGTGTAGCAGAATAGAATTAGAAATATATCTTAACATATAGAATCAAATAGAGTTCTTTATACCTCATCAAGGTAGAGAAGCCCTCTCATACCTTCCCTTAGTATGAAACCAGTACAACAAATCATTGTCTCCCTAGATGAGGTCTAAGGATTATGCATAAGAATCATCTGTGTGCTTGTTTATAATAAATATCCCTGAGCCCCTCTTTCTCTGGAGGAAAAAAAGTATGAATATGAATGCTTTGCAAACTCCCTGCATAATTTAACATACTGAACTTTGAGAACCACTGTCCTAAATGGAAATTATTTTAATGTAGTGGCTGTAAATGGGAAAATTTGACAATTTCTACTGAGAAATAGAAAACAGGGATGAGATTTAAAGATATTGTTCTGATTTGAGAAGGGCTATAGAAAGCAATGGTAATATGAGGTCTCTTGAAGGGTATTTCAAGACAGAGAAACAATTGTCAAAGTTCTCCATCTTCACTGAAGACTACATAAGAGAAAATAGGCATAAGAGACAAAGGATCAAGTGAAGCTAATCAAGAGAAAGTAGAATTTGGATCCATTGATCCCTGTCTGGAGGCTCGGGGAGAAGTGGAGCACAGATCTTTGGGAACACTCACTGGCCAGCATGAGGCAAGGGTCCTCCATTTCGATCCTCTGCACCTGGGCCTTCAGAAAGAGCTGGAAATCAATGCCTCTGGCTTGGGAGGGGTTAGCGAAAAATCGGGCAGGAATCCGAGAAGTGTCTTTGTGGTCCTCCTGACCAAAGCCCAGACTGAAGAGGACATCTTCAGCATCTTCTTGCACCTTGTCCAGAATCTCAGAGATGCTGGAAAAGGGAGTTTGGGTAAGTAGGGGCAATTTTGAAGCACAGGGTAATCCAAGTATCTTTGACTTTGAGAAAAGCTTTTATTTTCCTGAACATAAACTATCTGTCTTAAACATGGAAATTATAATACAGCTCTGGTTTAAAAACAGAATGAAATTCTATCATAGTACTTTGAATAAATGGTTACAGTGAATTAAAATGTACTACAAACGGATTTGAACAATCAAAATCAGTACAGTTGCAAAGGAATCTGTGGTTGTGCTATTAACCAGTCAGTTCCCACTTGCACATGCGTATTATGACATAAATAAGCACTTCTGCCAAGTGCTTTGCAACTTGCCTCCCAGTTTGCCCTTAGCAGTTGTTTGGGAAACTAGAGAATGTGTATGTAGAGAATATAAAATCTATTTTATTCTCACTCAGAGGGTAAAAATTTTTCAATATGGTAGGTCCTCACTTAATGTCATTAAGAGGTTCTGTGACTTTAAGCAAAACAAAAAATTTATCATAGACTAATTGTTATAAACAACTGTTAAGTTCCTATGGCATCCCATCAATGTTGTAACAAAATGGTGTTGAACAAAACATTGTTATTTGAGGACTTGCTGTATAGGTATGTCCAAAACCTGATTTTGAGAGGTAGACCCCTTTGTGGCACCATTTTTAGTACAGAAACTCTGCATTACAGAAGATCAAGTACTCTCTCTTTATGGCACCAACTTGTATCTATATCTGAATCTGTGTTCCACCAGGCTGGGTGACACAGAGCTCAATAACGACACATCCCAAACAACAGTGGGGGTGAGGGGGCTGTGGATTATTGAGACTTTGAATAATCACTGTCACTCTCTTCAGAAAAGATGCTGGGCTTTTTGATCCAAATAGGTACCATCTTGTTTAATAGCTGGATAATTGGAATCCCTCGCTCTACTTTTATGTTTGTTACCTAAGTGTAGATTTTATTTCCATATCTGAATTGTGGGCCTAAGTCTGGATCATTGTTTCTCAACCATGGCTGCATATTAAAATCACTTTGGAGGGACTTTAAAAAATAAAGAGAACCGAGTCTTATCTCAAGACATGCTGATTTAATCGAACCAGAGTGTGGCCAGGATTAGGGCTCTGTAAGGACAAGTCACTAAAGATAGTTAGATAGCTAATAAGTCTCAAATTCAAACTTTGACTTGAAATTCCATACACTTATAATTATAGCACATTAGTTTTAATCACTTTCCATCTTATTTTAAAGATATTTGCATGTTAATCATTCACTCTATTGGATTGTTGAACTCCTGGGGGCAAGTTCTTTGTCTTCTTCAAATATTTTCAAATTCCATACAGTCATTGCCTGGCCTGCATTAGAGGATATAAAATTGCCTGAATGAATTCCTATTTTATTGTTTCAGTCAATCAACAAATCAATCAGTTCATCAAAACATTTATTGATTGCTTATTGACCACTTAGTATAAGTCCAAGAATTGTGATGATACCAATATTACACATCCTGGTGTATAAAGTTCAGTGGAAAGACACCTGTTATTTTCACATAGCATCCGGATCTCAGCAGTAGATTTCTTTGTATCCCCCACTATTCTTGAAGCAAATATGGTCATATTTCTTGAGTATATGATGGCATGAAAGCTCCAGAGAGATATCCCAGAAAAATGGGCAGTGGTTCTCACTTCCATTCTTTTATGCCTCTCATCTTCCCCATCCCTCTACCCCTGCCAAGCTTGGTACCTACCTTGAACTAGTCTTGTTGGTCCCACCAGTCATGCTGCTGGAAGCCAAACTGCAGCCAAGATCTAGTAGCTGGTAGGGTCGGGCTGTCTCTAGGAAACTCCTGCAAGAATCAGAGATGACGTCATACTAATCTTGCAAGCAATCTTCATCCTGGCTCCAAGACACCCCTTCTGGGCATAGTCATTCCCTGCTGGGTAACTTGGAATTATCTACTGTGAAAACTCAGTCTATCACTTCATTCCTCATTGGAAAAATCTCACTCTATTGTAAATTTTTAGCTCTTTGTTTTTAATTTCTTTGACTCTGACACTTACCCCAATTCAGTAGCTTCTGAAGGAGAGACCATTTAGCCTGGCTGACCTTACACTTACCTGGAGAAGAGTTTGCCGTTGGTGGCCAACAGTGTGGCTAGACAAAAAACAAAAAGGCAAAGAAAAAGTTAGAAGGGAAAATAAAAATCACCTAAGCTGCCCCTCTGAACTTAAAATTTAGGCTCCTCTGTTCCTCTCTGCCACTACTATAGGATAGCTGAAGCCCGTGAACTCCACTCTTTATGGGTGTATCTAACAGCTGTCAAACACAGACCTGGAAGGTGGACAACTGGCCCTGAGCCTCTGAACTTCTAAACCATGACTGGTTTCTAGGCAAGAGTTCCTCTGTCCTGCGTCTCTTCGGGTCCCAGGAGACACTAGTAGGTTGCTATACTCTATCTTTTATTCAAGCCCTTATCTTCCTGCAATGCAATCTTTCTCACACTCAGTACTGAGGCTGCTTTGGGTTTCCTACACAGAAAACCATTTCAAAGATGTCTGGGCAGCCAATAGTATCATGATTGTATATTTTATCTTCCCAGGGTCCAGTGAAAAACTCCAGTGATGGACCAGTAGACATCCTGATAGGTTAGTGCAGAAGTATTTCTGGGAATGTCATGCTTTCTGAGTTTCACATTAAATCCTGTTGAGACTGTTCTTTCCCTATGGATAAGACCCCAGGGATGGACTACTTCCTTCTGCAGTTATTATCTTCCATTCTATCCTTAATAAATCCTATGTATAGTTTCTTAATCAATTTCAATCCCAGAGAGCTGTGTCACTTACCCTCTGCTCCAAGGGTCAAATCATCTTCAAAGCTGGTTCCATGGCTGGGGCACCCTGTCAAATAATAAGGCAAAGGTCACAGAAAATCAAGCTTACACACACACACACACACACACACACACACATACACACACACAACCACACAGTCATATCAAACATCCACGTGTTTGCAAACTACCCCAAGCTGTACATACATATACTACCTCAGAAATCACGTTCATATTTTGACTCAGACAAAATCACATAGCCCTGGCCAGTTTGGCTCAGTGGTTGGAGCACTGGCCTGTGGACTGAAGGGTCTCAGGCTTGATTCCAGTTAAGGGCATGTACCTGAGCTGCAGGTTTGATCCATGGACTAGGGTCGTGTGGGAAGCAACCTATCGATGTGTCTCTCTCACGTAATGTTTCCCTTCCTCCCTCCCTCTCTTCCATTCTACCTAAAATTAATGGAAAAATATCCTGAGGTGAGGATTAACAAAAAAAAAAAAAAAAGAAAGAGGAATGAAAGAATCACATAGACACTCATATATAATTAACCTGTTCCCTATATCACATAGTGACGTACACAATCCTCTGCCAAATAGTAAGCACATGCAGGTGTGTACTCACACACATAAACACACATTTTATAAAGCTCTTTTCCCATAGCAGTGATTTTTAGCTGAGCAACCACTAATGGAAGATAACCTTGGAGTGCTGGTGAGCCTGTGGGCTCTAAACCAATGCTTACTGTATATTCTGGACCTTCCTGACTGCCTGTGACCACTAATAGGTGTATTTCAGACAGTTACGAGTGAGTCAGCTTTCTTATGGATGCATATGCACGTGCATATACATATACATTCACACACACACACACACACACACACACAGCCCTATCACTATCCAGGTAAAAGAACAATAGAAGAAAGAATAGAGCCTATACTCACCATTATAGATTGAATGTCCGACTTCCTCAAAAAACCCTTCTTCAGAGTATCTAAAAACCAAACATAATCTTATGGGTTAAAATCACTACATTTTCCAAGGGGCTTTTCCTCAAATATGTGCCATAGTTTCACATAATTTTCCCATGAGAGTCAGTAGTATTTAAAACGATTTTTATATTGAAGAAAACAAGACAGAGCAGTTATTTGACTGACAAATTCATGGAGGGAGTCAGTGGGAGCTGGGACTGCAGTGCTGCCGCTGTACTGACCACACTGTCTAAAGTTAGCAACAATTTTCCAGCTAAATCCTAGGTAAAGAATATAGAAGCAAAACCAGAGAAATATATTTACAGAAGCAGGGGTTTGGAATGCACAATTTCCACATCACAAAAGCAAATATAGAGATTTAAAAAAAGCTTTTAGGAGGTCATCTTATCTACTTACACCCCCTTCTCTCTGAGTCATACTCTTGCAGAACAGCATGTCTTTCAGAGAGTAGCAGAAACTGCCTCTTGGTTAGAGATTATATTTTTACATTTTGAGGCATAGGCTTATCAAACATTTACCATTTCCAGAAGAAAAACAGATGGAAATCAGCATAAATAGTAATGAGATTTATAAACAAGGAAGAAATTCTCTGTCTAAAACAAGCAGCCTGTAGAAAAACTTTGAATTGCGACCAGAGCACCTGGATTCCAATCCTGGCTTCTTGATACTGCTATGTTCTCAAAGTTTGCACAGGGATTAAATGTCTAAATATTATTATTATCTAAGTCCTCTTCAAGCACTGATGTGTTGTGAGTTTTACAGAGTTTTCTTTCCAAAGAGGTTGCATATGATTCTTTGAATGTAATCTCATATGGAGGCTGGAGCAGAGAAGGCTTGTTAAAGTGAGTTCCGGGAAATGGACTGGGGTGCATCCATTTCACTGGTGTTGTCTTTAATGAGCCTTCTCCTTTACCTCCAGTGATTCAAATAAATCTCAGGCTATTAGAGCATCACTTCATAAAATGTTTAATGATGGCAATAGGCTTACTAATTGAATATGTGTAGATTAGTGTTTAAATTTTATAAAATAAATCAATTCATATATCTATATAGATAGATATATGTATATCTATCTATATAGATATATTTTACTGATACTTTGCTTTCAATAGTGAAAAAACATTAACTCTGTTTTCCAATTCCTCTTTTTATATGTCCTTATAAAAAACCAAGGTATGATATAAAATGTGAAATGATATACCTAAGCCAATTAATAATCAGTAACTCTAATACTACAACTTGAACTATAAATGTATACTTTACTTTCTAATATATAATATTATATATAAAACATTATTTTATTTTACATATAACATTATTACATAAATATATTTTAATATAATACTACAAATGTTAGTATAAATTAATATTTACTATTATTACTAAAACACTATGATAACTAATATAGTCTACTACTAGAATACTGAAATTTACTATTGATTGAATGCTTGTTTTGTAGCTATACAGTAATGCAGCTACTAAAGAAACTATTATAACTACAATAAAAATACACTACTATCATACTTCTGGGTGTGTATTCAAAGGAAGTGCCTGCATATGATCACCAAAAGAAATGATTTTCATAGTAACTCAAAATTGGAAGACCAAAGTCTCTAATTATTGTAAAATGGATAAATTATAGGATAAATATACAATTTATTGCTACACAACAATAAAATGTATGACCTATTGTTGCTTACAAAACATGGGTAAACATCGCAAACATAATGCTGCACATAAGAAGCACACATAAAACAGTACATGTTGTATGTTTCTATTTATATAAAGTTAAAAAACTGAAAAATTTATCTATGATGCTATAAGTCAGCTTACTGGTTCCCTTGAAGCAGGATAATGCATGGAAAGGGATGGAGAGGAGCTTCTGGAGGGCTGGTAAGGATCCGCTGCAGGGTTTATAGGTATATTCCCTTTGAGAAAATTCCTTGAACTATCTATTTAATACTCGTTTATTTTTCAGTAAACACTTTATACTTTAATATAATTTATATTATTATCATTTTAACAGCTGTACTGAGGTATAATTGATATATAAAGAACTGCACATATTTAATGTATACAATGTGATGAGTTTGGACATATGCAAACACCTGTGGTACTATCACCAATTAAGATAACAGACATATCCAACAACTCCCAGTTTTCTTCTTCCCCTGTGTGTGTGTGTTTTTTAAGTAAAAACACTTAACATGCGATCTACCCTGTTAACAAATTTTGAAGTGTCCAATACCATATTGTTAACTATAGGCACTATGCTGTACAGTGGATATCTAGAACTTACTTGTCTAGCATAACTAAAATGTATTGTCATTGAGTTGTATTACAATTTATATTAAAAAGAGAAATGCTACTAATATGTATGCTACACTTCAATAAAATTTACACTAAAAAATATTACTGATAAAGTTCCTAGTCTGTCCAAAGGAAAATTTGCTATTATTCATTACATACAAATGTTTGTTGGGTGTTCCCCCGATATTTCTCTTCTCTCATTGTGCCCTGGAAGGCATGCCCATATTCTCTATATGCAGACCAGCCCAGAATGACCCTTGGGACAGCAGGCTTTTCTATATGTATGTGGGGTCTACCAGAGAAGCATGGATGGGGGCCTGGATTTATTGATACCTTCTCAATGAGCATGTTGATTTGAATCTTCACGTCCATTACCTAAGTTCCAGACCTTTCATGAATTATTGCTTAAGACATATCAATGATTGGGGACTAGATATATAATTGTACCTCTCTCTCCACCTTTTCATTGAAAGGTCGCTTAGCATATTTCAAGTTTGAAGTACAAAAGCCAAGGTACTGTTCGTTTGTATATCCAGCTCATAAAGAAGGAGTAAGGAGGTGGATTGGATTATGAGGAGAAGCATGCGGCTACTTTTAGCTGCTTCTAGCAATTTCCATAGATTCTGTGTGCAGATATTTTAAACTGAAGTCCACACAGATGATTTTTGGACTCCTGACCCTACCTCTGATGATTCACTAGTATCACATTCATTCCCTAGGAAATCCTCTGAAAGCTTAAGAGGAGAAAGGAAAAGGAGAGGCATAGTTTGTAAACATGTACACCATCTAAACCTGCAGCAGGAGGGTTTGCTACTAGATTCGATTACCCCAAGATACAATGACACTAGATTAGCAAGGAAGTTGGTGGACTTTCTTGGAAAGCTTGTCATAAAACAAAGCCCTCTTGCTACCAGAAGGCATTTGGCATTGAGAAGAAAATGAAAATTATATGGTCTTGAAATCAAATTTGAAAAGTGCCTCCCAGGGCACTTGCCAACAGAATGGACATATAATCAGTGAATGTGGGTTTCTTGTCCGTCTTTTCCTCTGAGGTCTTGGTAGCCTTAGAATCAAGGATGGTGGTAACTCAGAAGGTCATATTTAGAATACATTTCTTTCTCGTCTATTATTAAAATAAACTATTCTCTCACTATCATCAATAATCATCCTTTAATTTTTCTGATTTCCCCATATAATTAAAAAGTACTACATACTTATCCAGGAGGATTAGACAATTGAGAAACTTTAAAATATTTTTTGACACTAATAATTCCTTTTCCAATGACAAATGTAAACATACTAATAGATTTCCTTGTGGCCTTTTTGAAGTTTAAATTTTGTCAACCACAGAAAAGTAAAGAAAATATGAAAGATACTCTTGCACTTGCCGCCCTATTTTCACACATGCAAATATTTTGTCATATTTGCTTCAGATCTCTGTTAATAAAAAAATAAAATAAAATAAAATATTAAAGATATAACTAAAATCTCATTTTATTCCCATTCCTTTCTATTTTCTTCCTTCCTAGAAGTAACCACTATCTAGGAGTTGGTGCATATCACTTCCAGACATACTTTTTGATAAAGAGATAGATATAGATAGATAGATAGATAGATAGATAGATAGATAGATAGATGATAGACTTAGTTTGTGAAATTTAAAAGTAGCATAAAGCCCCTACTTTATAAACCTTACCCCTCATGTATTACTACAAAGCATACAGCACTTGTACATACATCATATCATTTAAATCTTTGAAAACTTTTGAAACTATTATTCTAGTTCTCCACTTTATAGGTGAGGAATCTGAGATAGAAAGAATTTCAGTTGTTTGTTTATAGCTGTTTACACAGATAGTTAGCAAAATAATTAGGCTCCAATCTTGGAGTCTTTTCACTTACCAGCTACATTTTCAATATAGATTTGGTATCAGGGTTTATCTTTGCAGCATACAGGTGACGAAAGGTGATTTCTGAAGTTTGTAATCTTATATTTCTGTGACTTTATTCTTTTCAAATAGAATACAGTATGTTTGAAGCCAAGGAGCATATTTGAAACTATTTGGCACACTTTTAGACCATTTAGACAATCAGACAGCAAATGCACAGTTAATAATTGCTGATGTGAATTGACAAAACTCAAGAGTAGTTAATGAGCTAAAGACATTAACTGAGACAACTGGTTCTCTTTTACAAATCTGGTGAAGCATTTTGAATCCTAGGACATACCAAAACTTGCAAATGTTCCCACTGCATTCACTTTACTTCCCTATATTTTGATTACCTTTCATTAACTTTGAAGTCATTGAATTGTGAACCAGATTAGGACTATAAGGATGATATGTTTTGTAAACAACAACAACAACAACAAAAATAAATCCTTCCTGGCATTATTCTCTGGGTCATAGTTGAAATAAACAAAGTTGGATTATGCATTGCTATTTATTTCCTACCAAATAAGCAAGGGTGGGTTTATGTATATGTTAATAGATGAGTTTAGATTAAAGGCTATATAAAGCTTGAGCCATTCCTAGAGGAGAAATAAGGAGCAGGCAGAAGTTATGAATTCTGAGACTCTATTATCACACAAATGATCAAGCTTAAATAGGTCACAGAAGCTTTCCCTCTGTCTCTGCATAGACTGAACCTAAAATGGTACAGGCTTATGGGGTGTGGGGTCTCATTTTTCAAAGTGTTTCTGAGGAAACAGATACTACATTTTGCCTTCTTCACTACCTTGAATGACTGGTGTAAACCCTTAGCCCCATGTCCTGTGTTCTGCAGTAGAAATAAACAACATAGTGATGAATTACTCTGATTATAAGAACAATTAGGTTTCTAACCTCGTTTGTTACACAGTGTTAGAGTCTGGTCTGAAGGGAAAGCAGTAGAGTAGGGACCTGGAACTCAGCCCAGCCATTCCCCAAAGCTGCAGATTTCCATCGTTCTTGGCTTTAGACCAAATCCAGCCTGTATTTCCAGACCTCCACCCTAAATTAGTCTCATCCTAGAACTGCACTTGATTCACAGTCCCAGTGACCACACTCACCCCAAACTTTTACTCCCCTCCCCCCTTGTCAATCTCACTTTTAAACTTTAGGCCCAATTCAAACCCATTTTCCTGTTTCTGAGTCTCCACAAGTTAGTGCCTGCTAGCAATAACCAACCATCAGTTGTGTTCAATCCATTGCATCTCCAGCACTTACCCACAGTCCTGCAGCCAGTCTTCAATCTTAGTGATTGGATTCCCTAGGAAAGTCAGACACCAGATCACTGTGAGAACAGAAGGAAATCAGACCCCTCCCTGCACTTCACCCCATTCTCAAGCTTATCTTTATATAAGCCATGTCACGAATCCTTTTCCCCTCTCTAAAACTTTTCTTTTTTTTTTTTTTTTTAAATCCTCACCCGAGGACATTTTCTATTTTTTGTTCAGATAGAGTGGGAGGGACAGAGAGAGAGAGAGAGAAACATCGACGTGAAAGGGACACATCGAGTGGCCGCCACCCACACAACCCAACCAGGGCCGGGGCCAAACTGCAACCGAGGTACGTGCCCTTAGCGGGAACCGAACCCGGGTCTCTCTGGACCGCAGGCCGACGCTCTACCGCTGAGCCAAACTGGCCAGGGCTAAAACTTTTCTTTAATATAGGAGAGGATTATACTCATGTATAAAAATAGTGGATATTTATTCTCTCTCTGCTCCCCTGTACTTCAGGAACCTGAAAAATGCCCAGGATGTCAAGCCCACTACTCTCTTTCCCCCAAGTTTAGAAAATAAGGGTGGTTCCTTCCTCTTAAATAAGGGAAAAAAACAAAAACAGCACAATATTGCACTTGTGATATTTGTTTCCTACTAAATAAACTGGAATGGGTTTATTTATATAAGATTTTTTTCTCCATTTGTAGCTATAGTCTCATTTGAAACCCAAAGAAGCTCTGAGAAGCATTCAGAAAAGGTCCTAATACTATTTAAATGAGACAAATATGTCTTAGGTGAATGACTCGCCAAAGGTCACACAGCTTGTTAGTGACAGAGCTGTGGCCAGAGTCCAGACATTCGGGTTGTGTGACCTTGTTACACAGACAAAGTAGAAACACCCCAAAGCATTCACAGAGAATCCTGGCCTCAGGTCCTACGTACTGCTTCTCAGGATGACCGAAAATGTGCCTCTTCCTGTTTGCTAATCTCATGCCCGTCTCTGTTTCACATAATTTATATTTTGTATTACTTTACCCTTCTCCCCTTAAACTTATTTAAACCAGTCAAAATGAGCCTCCTCCTGCCCACACTATGCAGGTCTATGCCTGTTGCCACATATTCCCTACCAGAGACAATGTGGAAGTCTGTTTGCCGTCTAACTGCTTCTCACCTTCCTGGAAAACGTCATCCAGGCTGGAAGGCTCAGGATCTGGGACATCCTGCAGGGCAGCTGCAGCCTCCTCTTCCAGGACCTGGGTCTGCCAGTGCCGGCTCTGACGGAGCCAGGCCCGTCGCTTCTCCCAGGACGTGGGGCTCAGCACAGAGCCCTCCATGGCCCTGGTTCAGACTTCAGAGTCTCCTGCCACGGTGATGCTGCCCTGAGAGGTGAAGCACAGTGATACTTCCTCATCCTCTATCCAGAAACTACCATCCTGAGGGCGTCTCCCGACCCCCCATCTTTCCAGATCTGCGCGAAGGAGCCCTACCCTGCTGCCCATTTGGGAGGAGGAGGGAGACCTAGCCCTGCCTTCATCTTCGAAAACAAAACAAAACAAAACAAAACAAAACAAAACAAAAGAAATGCTCTGAACAACCCAAACCCCAGGGCAAATCTTTCAGATCAGTAAGTCTGGAAACTTCAAGCACCATGTGATTTAAGGGGCACTGAAAGAGCTCTTCCTACTTAAAGAATCGCTGCTTCTCATGACAGCTGAAATGGTGTATCAGAAAACATTTTTCTTTAATCCTTAAGGATTTTTGTCTCAAAATCTCCCACTGACATTAAAATATCTATAAATTTGCCATTTATAAAATTCACTTTATTTGATCTTCATGAAGGTGTATGAGGAAGCCTCAGACCTCAAAGTCTGAACAGCTTTTCTAAGGTCCCATAAGTGGGACTTCACCTAAATCGTGAGAACGTTTCAGCTCACGGGAAGAATGTTTTTGGGGATTAGGGGACTTTAAAAGGAAGGCAGGAAAATAGGAGGGCAGAAAGAGGAAAAAGAGGGAGAGAGAAGAAAGAGAGAAAGAGAGAGAGAGAGAGAGAAGGAAGGAGGGAGGGAGGAATACTTGATGCCCACATTTTGTTCTGCCACTTGCTAATGGTATAACATTGGGAAATTCAATCTCTCTTTCTGGTCTCAGTTTCTCAGTCAGGACACTGGAGCTTAGCACAGTGCCAGGATCACTAATAGAGATGGTAGATGGAGGCCTCTACTCAAGTTTCAACATCCTCTGTGATATGAATCTGCTCTATATTCTTCCCACATGTTTGAAACTACATCATACTCATCTAGGCTAATTTTCCCTCTGCCCCCTGAAAATGCTTATCTTTTTATTCTATTTTTTTTTAAAATTAATCCTAGGTTTTTCTCATGTTCTTTACTCCCTCCCCTACTCTTGTCCCTCAGTCTTTGGCATACTTAACCTGCAAAGCTCAGGTCTTAACCACCTTGCTCCGAGAAGTCAGGCCTGGCTTCTAGAGCCTACAATAGTCAGTTTTCACTGAGTTTCTTTCCTGCTTGGTTTTCTTCTTCATTGTTATCACTAAAATACTTCATATTTTATTTGTTAAGCTAATTTATTGTTTACTTGTCTAATTAGGATATAAGTTCCATGAGGACAGAGATTTTTGTCTGGGTCATTCACTGTTGTGTCCCTAATGTCTAAAATAGAACCTAACTCATAGCAGTTTCTTAATAAATTCTTATTCTCTAAATGAATAAATAATTTTTCCTTCCCCAAAGGAAGCCCAGTGTCTTACAGAGTCATCATAAACATATGGAGGGAGAACAGCTTAAAAACTGTGACAATAAGCTTACACTTACATGTTTACTAAGCGTATAAAAATGTTTTGGGCTAGAAGATGGAAAAAAGAGATGAATTTGAGGGTTATTCTATGCTTGTTTCTACTCTTGGAGTTCATAGATTTGCAAACAGAAGTTGTATTTTCTTAACTATTTCTATTTGTTATTCTCTAGAAAAATGTTACTTAATGTAAACAACTAAAAAAAAAAAAAAAATCCTATGGAGAAAGAACCTTCAATGCTTAAGAGTTCCAAAGAAAGGCTTACAGCCCAGCTAGTGTGGCTCAGTGGATTTAGCCTTGTCCCATGGACTGAAAGGTCCCAGTTCAATTCCCAGTTGGGGCACATGCCCAGGTTACAGGCTTGATCCCCTATAGGGGTCGTGCAGGAGGCAGCTGATTGTTTCACATCAATGTTTCTATATCTCTCTCCCTTCTCTCTCTAAAAAAATCAATAAAAACATATTTAAAATAAAGGAAAGGCTTACAAATAAATACAATAGTATGACAACAAGAAGGCTGGACAAGTTAAGGACTATTGAGAATTATGGCCATTATCTAAGCAATTTGGGTGAGAACTGAGCAATTTCCTCTCTTGTAAAAGCAATAATGATCTCAAGTCTGAAATAACAGATGCAAGGTATATCTAAGCTAACCTTTTCAATTGTGGCAAACTGGACACAGGACCAGGGAATTGAATTACCTCAATCTCTGCCACCCTTGGGTTATAGAGACCTGTTCATGTGGTGTTATATGGGAACACTATGAGTACAGTGATATTATGAGCCAGGGAGAAATAAATTTGTCTAGATAGTGGTAACAGGAGGAAGCTGTGTTGCTGGGAGATAATAAAGTGGCTATTCTTTGTGGAAATCTGGAGGAAGTAGCAAATGATTATCAGACAAGCATATCAGTAGTGAGAATGTTAGAAAGAATTGAAGGCTGGGGGTGCACACAGCTATCAAATTGGCACCTTTGAAGGCCTTGGGCCCCTTGTAGTAAAGAGAAGGGCATGGGGATATTTTTTCCAAACAAGTCATACGAAAACATATACCTATATGTACAATAGAGTTTGGTGCAGTGAAAAGAGCACTAACTAGGAATCAGGAAACTTGGGTATCCTTCCAATGTTTATATCTAACTAATTGACTTCTGGAAAGTCAATTAGATTTCCCTTTTCATTCTGGAAGGTAAATTTCTTTTTAAAGTATGGTTGACATGCAATATTATATTGGTTTCAGATGTATTACATAGTGATTTGGCATTTATATACCTTACAATGTGATCACCACACTATTCACCTGTCACCATACAGTTATTGTGTTCTCCCTGCTCTACTTTACATCCTCATTACTTATTTATAACTATACATTTTTACCTTTTAATTCACTTTACCTTTTTGCCCATCCTCTCACCCCTCTGGCAACTATCAGTTATTCTGTATCTATGTTTTCTTTGTTCATTTTTTTAGTTTTTTAGATTCTAAGTATAAGTGAAATGATACAGTATTTGTCTTTCTCTGACTTATTTCACATAGCATAATACTCTCTAAGTCTATCCATGTTATGCAATGGCAAGATTTTATTCTTTTTCATGGCTGAGTAATATTCCTCTGTGTGTGTGTGTGTACACACATACACATACATACGATTACTCTTTACTTATCTACTGATAAACACCTATGTTGCTTGCATATTATGGCTATTGTAAATAATGCTGCAGTGAACAGGAGTACATATATTTTTTCAAATTGTGTTTTGTATTTCTTCAGATAAGTGCCCAGAAGTATAATTGCTGGGTCCTTCTTTGTCTCTTTTTATAGCCTTTGTTTTAAACTCTATTTCATCTGATACAAATATTGCTATCTCAGCTTTTTTTCCCCCTTTCATTTCCATTTTCATCAAACGCCTTTTTCTATCCTTTTATTTTCAGTCTGTGTGTGTCTTTTGACCTGATGTGAGTCTCATAAAGGCAGCATATGTAAGGGTCTTTTTTTTTTTTTTTTTTTTTTTTTTAATCTATTCAGTCACCCTATGTGTTTTGAATGGACCACTCAGTCCACTTACATTTAAAGTTATTATTGATAGGTATATACTTATTGCAATTTTAATTATTTTCATACTAGATTTGTAAGTGCTTGGTCTACTAGCTTTACTATATATTTGCCTTTACCAATGAGATTATTTTTTCTTTCATATATTTTCTTATTTCTAGTTTTGGCCTTTTCTTTTCCACTTAAAGAATTCCCTTTAACATTTCTTGTAATGCTGGTTTGATGATAAACTTTTTTAGTTTTTCTTTGTCTGGGAAAATCTTGATCTTTCCTCCCATTCTGAGAGATAACCTCACCAGTATTCTTGGTTGTAGGTTGTTTCTTTTCATCATGTTGAATATATTATGCTGCTCCCTTCTGGCCTACAAAGCTTTTATTGAAAAGTCAGCATATAGTCTTATGGGCTTTCCCTTGCATATAACTAGTTGTTTTTCTCTTGCTGCTTTCAAGATTCTCTCTTTATTTTTATCTTTTAACAATTTAATTACAATGTGTCTTGGTTTGGGTCTCTTTGGGTTTATTCCTTTGGAACTCTCTGTGCCTTCTGGACTTGAATGTCTATTTTCTTCTCCAGGTTAGGGAAGTTTTCAACCCTTATTTTTCAAATAGGTTTTCCATCCCTTTATCTCTCTTCTCCTTCTGGGACCCCTATGATTCTAAGATTAGTATGCTTGATGTTGTCCCAAAATTCCATTATGCTATCCTCATTCTTTTAAATTCATTTTTCTTTTCCAACCAGGTAACTTCCAACTATCCTGTTTTCCTGATTGCTGAGCCATTCTTCTGTGTCATCTGACCTGCTGTTGATTCCCTGCAGTATATCTTTCATTTCAGTTATTACATCCTTCAGTTCTGATAGGTACTTTTAAAAATAATTTTTATATATTTGTTGAAGTTCTTACTGAGTTTATCCACTTGTCTGCAGAGTTTGACAAGCATCTTTATGACTATTTCTTTGAACTCTTTATCTAGTAGACAGCTTACCTCAGTTTCATTTAGTTGTTTTTCTGGTGTTTTGTTAATTGTTTTCTTTTGCTTGGAACATATTTTTTTCTCTTCTCATTTTGAACATTTGTTTCTCTGTATTAGGTAGGTCAGTTATGTCTCCTGGTCTTGAAAATGTGGCCTTATTTAGAAAGTGTCCTGAGGGGCCCAGTGGTGGAATCCCCCTTGTCACCAGAGCCAGGTGCTTCAGAGGTTCCCTGAATGGACTAGTGTGGCCTCCTGTTGAGGTTGGGCCACAACTTCTATGGACACACTGACAGGTGAAGCTAGTGCCTGGCCTGCTGGTTGTGAAGTCTGGCCACAACTGTGGTGGACATACTGGTGTGCAGGGCAAGCTTTTGTTGTGGCTGGCTGTGAGGCCCAGCCACACTGTTGCAGACACACTGCTGTGTGCTGGTGATGACAGACACTGCTTAGTGGGTGTGGCAGGGCAGGAGGCACTTTGGAGGAGAGATAGCCCAGATAAGTCCTCAGGAAAATACCAAAGTGGGGCAAATAGTGTTAGCAAGGTTCATGGAGAGGGTCAGAAATGGTGCCTGCCAGCCTCAGACTAGCTTGGTGGAAGGAGAATAAAGAAAGGGAAATAAAAGCTGCCCCCAGCACTTCTGACTCAGAAGAAAGTTCCAACAGACCCCTGTTCCCCCAGCACACACCCTAAAATTAGTTTATGTATCACCTTCATCTAAGACCTAGATGTTTTTCAAACAGCTGTCTCTGTGCAAGGACTAAAAAGAGTACAACCTGGGCTTCCTACAGCCCTTTGGCTCTCCCAGACATAAGCCCTGCTGGTTTACAAAACCAGATGTTACGGAGGCTCCTCCTTCTGGTGCAGGTCACCCAGGCTAGGGCTCAGACACCTCAGTCTGAGGGACAACCTCTGCAGATGTGATATCTCCCCCCCAATTGTCAGTCAATACATGAGGAGTGTTGGGTAGACTTAGTCTCTATCTCTCCTACCTGTCTCAATGTGGAAAATCTGTTCTGCTAGTCTTCAGGTCATTCTCAGAGAAAGCTATTCTATATGTAGTTGTAGTTTTGGTGTCAATGAGAAGAGATGAGCTCAGGATCTTCCTACTTCACCATCTTGAACTCTAAGCCAAGAGCCTTATTCTTGAATGCCAACTGGCTTGTCTGTGAAATGTTCCTTGCAGTTGGTTCACTGCCCCCACAATAAATGTGGCTCTGGATGGGATTGTTGAGTCACTCTAGATTTTCTATTTGGATGTTGGTTTTAGCCTCTAAAAAATGAATTGGTGGGACTCGATGTTGTGTAAGTTTGCTACCAATCCCAATGTTTATTAAATTATTCTAATTGAGTTTGAAATATTTGTAGAAATGATATCTGTAAAAATGCATTTGTATAGTTTTCCCCATAAGAATTAAAAAATAACCCAGTAGCCTCTGAAGTTACTTACCATTTAGCAAATTTCCTTTCAAATTAACACTGACTTACGAGGTTTCTGAATTTCCGATATTCACTGACCCAGGAATGCGATGAGCCTGTTGAAGGAGGCTAAGAAGGAACCCAAATGTGTGTGATTCGGTCAGGTGTTGCTCACCGACCTCCAGCACTTGAATTTTTCTGTTCTTTTGCTTTAGCTTGTACAGCTTCATCCACCTTCCTCTCTATCCATATAAATTCTGTCTACCCTTTGAAGGCCTAATCAAGTCATCTGCTTATCACCCACCTCTAACAACTAGCACAAATATTATAGTATAGTCAATCTTTCTCTTCATTATCCACCAATTCTTGTGGCCTGTTCCCTATATCTTATTTCAGGGCATAGCATAGTACCTTACAACAGAAAGAGCTCAGTAAATGCTGTACCTGTAGAGGAGCAAGAATCACACTGGTACTGAAAAATTATTCTTATATGTCATAGGACAGGTGCTCCTGACTTTCTCTATGGTCTCAACTCCTAATTTATATATTTTGTGTACCTTGTATTTCAGAGGAAAAAGGCTTGGGGCATAGTCAAGCCAATATGCTGTTGATATAAGAGTCACACTAATGTGACTGAATTTATAAGCTTAAACTATCAAATTTTCCTATCTTAAAAAAGTTTTCTAGAATTATGCATTCTAAGTTTTTATTTCTTGGTCAAAATTTCTTTCTGGAATTTGCGTATCATCTTTCTCAATGCTGGTTTATGTTATAATGTTATATTTAATCAATCTCCTATGGTGTTGGAAATCTGAAGCCTACTGATATCTTAAAAAATTTTTTTTCTTTATTGATTTTAGAGAGAGAGAAAGGGGGAGAGAGAGAGAGAGATGAAAACATCGATGAGGGATTCCAAAATGGTGGTGGAGTGAATGGAAACTACACAGACCATCTCCCAGGACCAAACTGGAATTACAACTAAAACACAGACAAATCGACAAGAAATAGCAAAAGAAAAGCAGCTTGCAAGGATCATATAACCTGGGACACTGACTCGATCCTGGTAGGATTGCAGAGGCGCAAGAGGGGGACTGGGAGCCCACAGACAGCAGCGGCCTTAGCTGTGAGCAGTGCCCTTGGGTTAAACTCCCAAGTGGCCCCACAGTGCAGAGCCAGGACAGATGCTAAAACAGCCACAGCCACTCACCTTGGGCTCTGTAAGAGGGGGGGCAGACTGGACTGGAACTGTGTGGGGACACTCGAAATTTGAAAGGGGCTCAGAGCTTTTGCTGAGTTGCAGCCACGCAGGATGGTGGCCATCTTGCTCCTTCCCAGGGCTCTGGGGAGAAGCAGTGGCCCCTCCCTCAGAGATTCAACCCCACCCAGGAGGGTCATAGAAATGAAAATTGAGGCTCATTAACAATCATCATCTGCCACACCCTCAGGAAATCTCCTTATGCTGAGCACCTGAGGGAGTTTTTCATTCAACTGACAACCCAAAACTCTTCAAATAACCACTACTAACAGCCTCCAGGCAAAAACCTAGAGGATAATTGTACCATTCCTGGGCTAGCAACTCTAACCAAGAAAGTAAGACTTGACAGTGATGTTTACCGTGGGTCCTCCCTCGCTCATCCAAACCCAGGAGAGGGAGCCACAAACAGCAGAACACCAACACCCACAGGGAAAATTTGGCAGGCTCCAAAGCCCACTGTGATAACCAAAATGGTGAAACACAGAAACAAAAGCCAAATGAAAGAACAAGAGACCTCTACCAAAGATGAGATAAATGTGGAGCTGTTAGGCAAGTTAAAAGAGCTAGAATTCAGAGCCATGATCTTGAGAAATCTCAACAGCATTAGTAAGAACATAGAGATGTTGAAAATCAATGAATGGAAAATTAAAAACCACCAAGAAGAAATCAAGAATGACACATCAGAAATAAAGAACACATTGGAAGGTCTAAACAGCAGAGTAGAGGAAGCATATCAGTGAAACAGAAGATAGGGTAGAAAAAATCAACCAATTAGAAAACCAAAAGGAAAAAAACAATGAAAAAAAAACAGGAAGACAGCTTAAGAGAACTGTGGGACAACTGGAAACGTAATAATATTCACATCATAGGAGTCCCCAAAGAGGAAGAAAATGAGCAAGGGTTAGAGAATATATTTGAAGAAATGGTGACAGAAAACTTCCCTAATTTGGTGAAGGAAAAAGGCATTCATTCAAGAAGCACAAAGAGCCCTAAGTAAGAAGAACCCAAACAGGCCCACACCAAGACACATGGTAATCAAAATGCCAAAAATTAAAGACAAAGAGAGAATCCTAAAAGCAACAAGAGATAAGTAACAGGGTACCTACAAAGGAAACCCCATAAGGCTATCAGCTGACTTCTCAAAAGAAACATTACAGGCCAGAAGGAAGTGGCATGAAGTAATCAAGGTCATGAAAAACAAGGATCTGAATCCAAGACTACTCTACCCAGCAAGGCTATCATTCAAAACAGAAGGTCAAATAAAGAGCTTCCCAGACAAAAAAAAAAAAAAAAAAAGGGGGGTAAGGGAATACATTAGCACCAAACCAGCACTGCAAGAAATGTTAAAAAAAACAAACTGCTGTAATTAGTGGAAGAAATAGGAAGAAAAATATAACCAAACTAAACAAAAATGGCAATAAATAAGTACATATCAATAGTCACCTCAAATGTAAATGAACTAAATGCTCCGATAAAAAGACACAGAGTATCTGATTGGATAAAAAAGCATGACTCATCTATATGTTGTTTACAAGAGACCCACCTCACAACAAAAGACTAACATAGGTGGAAAGTGAAGGGATGGAAAAAAAATCTTCCAAGCAAACGGAAAGAGAAAGAAAAGCTGGGGTAGCAATGCTCATATCTGATAAAATAGATTTCAAAATGAAGACCATTACTGGAGACAACGAAGGCCACTACATAATATTGAAAGGATCTATCCAACAAGAAGATATAACCTTGGTAAACATATATGCACCCAATATATGAGCACCAAAATATATTAAAAATCTTCTGGAGGACTTCAAAGGAGGAATCGACAACAACAGAATCACAGCAGGGGACTTCAACACCCCACTGACACCACTAGATAGATCCTCTAGGAAAAAAGTTAGCAAGGAAACAGAAACTCTAAATGAAACACTAGACCAAATGGATTTAGTAGATATCTACAGAGAATTACACCTCAAACTACAGAACTCACAGTCTTCTCAAGTGCACATGGGACATTCTCAAAGACAGACCACATGTTAGGACAAAAACTAAATCTCTACAAGTTCAAGAAGATTGAAATCATATCAAGCATCTTCTCAGATCACAATGGCATGAAACTAGAAATCAATTGCAACAAAAACATGCAAAGACATTTGAACACATGGAGGCTAAAGAGCATGTTATTAAACAATGAATGGGTTACCATAGAGATCAAGGAAGAAATTAAAAACTTCCTGGAAACCAATGAAAATAAACAAACAACAACACAAAATCCACGAGATGCAGCAAAAGCAGTTCTGAGAGGGAAGTTCATATCACTACAGGCCTACCTCAAGAAACACGAAAAATTTCTAATTGACTGTCTAACCTCACAACTTAAAGAATTAGAAAGCAAACAAAAGGAAAACCCCAGAGCAAGTAGAAGGAAGGAAATAGTAAAGATCAGAGCAGAAATAAATGACAAGGAGACCAAAAAAGCAATTCAAAGGATCAATGAAACAAAGAGCTGGTTTTTTGAAAAGGTAAACAAGATTGATGGACCCTTAGCTAGACCCACCAAGAAACAAGGAGAGAGAACCCAAATACACAAAATCAGAAATGAAAGAGGAGAAGTAACAACTGACACCACAGAAATACAAAAGATCATTAACAGCTACTATGAACAATTATATGGCAACAAATTCGACAATCTAAGTGAAATGGACAAATTTCTAGAAACACACAGTCTCCCAAAACTGGACCAGGAAGAGATAGAAAACTTGAACAGACCAATAACAACTAAGGAAATTGAAGAGGTAATCAAGACCCTCCCAGCAAACAAAACCCAGGCCTGAATGGCTTTACGGGGGAGTTTTACCAAACATTCAAAAAAGAACTAACACCGATTCTCCTCAAACTATTTCAAAAAATTCAAGAAGAAGGAAGACTTCCAAACTCATTGTATGAGGACAGCATAATTCTAATTCCAAAACCAGAAAAAGACATTACAGAGAAAGAAAACTACAGGCCAATAACCCTGATGAACATAGACACCATAATAATGAACAAAATACCAGCAAATTGGATCCAGCAATATATCAAAAAAATTATTCACCATGACCAAGTGGGATTTATCCCAGGGATGCAAGGCTGGTACAATATCTGCAAATCAATAAATGTGATACACCACATAAACAAAATGAAGAACAAAAACCACATGATCATATCAATAGATGCCAAAAAAGCATTCGACAAAATCCACCATCCATTTCTGATAAAAACACTCAGCAATGTGAGAATAGAGGGATCATATCTTGACATAACAAAGGCCATATATGAAAGACCTACAGCCAACATCATGCTCAATGGGCAGAAACTAAAAGCATTTCCCTTAAGATCATGAACAAGACAGGGATGTCCACTTTCACCACTCTTATTTAATATAGTACTGGAAGTCTTAGCCACAGCAATCAGACATGAAGAAAAAATAAAAGGGATCCAAATTGGAAAGGAGGAAGTGAAACTGTCATTATTTGCAGATGACATGATATCACACAGAGAAAACTCTAAATACTCCATCAACAATCTACTACACTTAATAAATGAATTTGGCAAAGTAGCAGGATACAAAATTAACATCAAGAAATCGACGGCATTCTTATACACCAATGATGAACTCACAAAAAGAGAAACTGAAAAACAATCCCATTTACCATTGCGGCAAAAAAATTAAGATACCTAGGAATAAACTTAACCAAAGAAGTAAAGGACCTATTTGCAGAAAACTACAAGATATTGAAAAAAGAAATAGAGGAAGATATAAATAAGTGGAAACACAAAACTTATTCATGAATTGGAAGAATTAACATCATTAACATGTCCATGTTACCCAAAGCAATCT